TGTCTTCAACAACATTATTGTAGACCTATCAGGTAGTTGAAGAAATTAGCTCTGAGTTGTTTTAACACTGCTAAAAATTCAGTGGAGACAATGGTACTGTAATATGTTAACTGTCTATTCTTTAGGATCTGGAAGTCTTACTCCTACATTAAATTAAGTAATCGGAAATCAACATTCTTTCTTCTAGTACTCAGTGCTTTAACTGAGTTAGAATGTAAAGTTATAATATTTACTATAACAGTCAAAAAAATCATTTGAAGAACATTGTTTATCTTTTGTAAAATTATAATTGAAAATGTCAACTAAGTTTTACAGTGTTTTTTCCACAAAACATAATTTAGTGCCAGGAGAAAAACAGAATTCTTTCTCCAGATAATTTTATATATGTGTCCTTTTTTTCCATTAATAACTAGATAACCCAAAATATATTTCTTTTGTTCTTAATGACAGGAACCTGAGAGCTACGTTGTACATGCCGAGTAACACTGCAATATTTTTTTTTCATTTCTAATGAATTTCTACTGTTAAAAAATCTTTATTATTCTTTTAATATATGCTTTTAAAAATATCACTGGAATGCTTTATTTATATAAGGAGAAACATTCTCACACTGCATGACTATATTTCTAATACTAAGGAAGGCATGCTCAAGCAAACAGACAACACCATTTTGGAGGTTTTGGAGATTGTTATAAAACCTCCAAAGGAAATATGATTAATATAATTTGAATGCCACTATGTGATTTTTTGCAAAGGCAAAAGATAATTCAGGGCCCAAAGTGCCAATTACAGAGGGCAAAACTTTCAATAATTCTTCTCTAAGTGCTTAATAGTTAACAAAGAAAGGCTAATCATCCACACTGGGAATTTATCCAGTCCCTTTGGTTCTTAGTTGGACAATTATACAACACTATAGATCTATCCATTTCAGTTGTCTCAATCTGAGAACCACTGTTCTACCCAATAGAAGGCAATGCTGTTGTTAAAAGTTATGCCAATTTGGACTTCCCTGGTGGCACAGTGGTTAAGAATCCACCTGCCAGGCTTCCCTGGTGGCGCAGTGGTTGAGTGTCCACCTGCCAATGCAGGGGACACGAGTTCATGCCCCGGTCTGGGAAGATCCCACATGCCGCAGAGCAGCTGGGCCCGTGAGCCATGGCCACCTGGCCTGCGTGTCCAGAGCCTGTGCGCCGCAACGGGAGAGGCCACAACAGTGAGAGGCCCACGTACCACAAAAAAAAAAAAAAAAAGAATCCACCTGCCAATGCAGGGGACGCGGGTTCCAGCCCTGGTCTGGGAAGATCCCACATGCCACTGAGCAACTAAGCCTGTGCACCACAACTAGTGAGCCTGCGCTCCAGAGCCCACAAGCCACAACTACTGAGCCCGCGTGTCACAATTACTGAAGCCCGCGCGCCTAGAGCCCATGCTCCACAACAAGAGAAGCCACCGCAATGAGAAGCCCGCGCACCGCAACAAAAAGTAGACCCTGTTCACCACAACTAGAGAAAAGCCTGTGTGCAGCAACAAAGACCCTACACAGCCAAAAATAAATAAATTTATTTTAAAAATTATTCATTAAAAAAATTATGACACTTAAAAAAAAATCTGATTATCATTCAAAGCTATTTGCGGGGGGTGGGATGGCAGTGGGATGAATTGGGAGATTGGGATTGACATCTATACACTAATATGTATAAAATGGATAACTAATAAGAACCTGCTGTATAAAAAATAAAATAAAATTTAAAAAAAAAGCTATTTGCGTTGATCTCTATATTGTAAAAATATTAATATATTTTTACACTGTATTTGCTCCTTAACATGCGGTAAATTAAATCTTAAGCATAATAAAATATCATACTGTAGGAAATATGTACTTGAAAGTAAAAAAAATGAAATCACTTCCAAGAAGTGATTCTGATTCCACCAGAATCAAAGAAGCTTTTTCTATCACACTAAGTAGACTGTTTATTTGCATATCTCATTATTTATGTTGCTTTAACTGGACTTACAAGCTCAAATAACTAAACTGTCTTCTCAGAGCATATAACTGAATGTTTACCTCTCAAAAACTAAAATTCCATTTCTTTGATTTAGTCAAAATTATTAGCTTCTCCATTAACAAGTCGTAGTAAATTTTTTTTTAAATATTGGAAAAGACAAAAAATGATTTGCCAGAAGTTCGCAGTCAATAAAGTAAATAAAAACTTTATGTTTTTAAACAGTAATGAATTTCCACAAATACTTTGCCCAAGGAAAATTCTATTTGCTAGAACACTGGAACATATTTTTACTTCCACAGATGATGATGCAATCACTTAAGAAATTTCTCAAAATACAGATATTTGAAATTCCCTTCTGACCCTTTCAAAATACAGATGTTCCCAGAGTAAAAGGGATCACATTAACTGACATCAGTACACATAAACTCTTTCTGCTATTTTGCGTTTGAGATGCCTTCTTCAGAGGCATAAAATATGAAGGAAACAGAAAACACTCATTTATTACACTTGTAAAATCTTCAAAATTCAGATTTACAGTGATGGGTAGAAAATGTCTTGACATAGCTATTAAATTTCCAAAACAGTAGAAACTTTTAATTTGTTAAAATATGAAAGGTATTAGATATTTTATGGAGCAAATTCCTTCCTTAACAGTTAAAAGCTCTCTCTCAAAATATATATTTTATTTTTAAAAGGGATGATGAACAATTTTCCTTAAGAGTAAAGATGAAAATCACTGTGCTGTGGAACTCTTCTTTTTACTATGTTGTTTTGAACACAAACACACACCCACACTGCATACTTTGCCAAGCCTGGGTGAATTTATTGTAGTGTTACTCAGTCTTCTAATGCTTCTAATGCTACTGGCTAAATATCTTCTGCTATTATAAATAATATGAAGCATGGTTGGGCCTTTCTCAAAAATCCAATAAAATTGCTTCTCAGAGCTATAAAATTATAATATTTAAAAAATAAGTTCAAAATATTTAGAGGTATTTAGTTCCTAAGAGAGAAAAAATGTTTGTAGACCACCTTTCTGAGAGTAATCTATTTTGACTTGTTGGTAAAAGCCCAATGACTCTGTGGGCTGAATATTTTGTCAAAAGGTCTATTGTTTATATAGAAAATTTCCAAAAATGACTTCTAGAACATTAAGTTCATAAAATTTTGTTTTAAATGATTCCTAAAAACAGCAAAATCTGGAAAATTTAGATACTTACTAGGTTTATGACAGTAAAAATGCCTAGCATCATGTAATCTCTGATAAAATATACAATGGATTTAGTTATTTTATTAAAAATAGATAACGGCTTCATTTTTTTAGACATGAATAAGGTTCTGTAAAATGGAAAATTAGCTTATTCAAAACGAGGGTTAATTACTATGCACAGAAGCATTATAAACCATGGCTCAACATGTCTATCCAAATTAGTTACTGCAAATCCTTACCTTGTATTAGTGTTACTAAAATCAAAATCACATTATAGGAATGTGATTAGGGGCAAGGGGAAATCTATGTACTCCTTTGCACAATTTTTAGTTGACAAATGAAATTTTTCATCGTAAGAGTTTCAAAGGATTTAATTCTGTCATACTGAAAACAGTGGTAATTTCTGAAAAATGATTACTTATTTTATGTATCCAGTGGACTCTAAATACCATAATGATTTTATGCCCACCATCATCCACTTTAAAAAATTATATTAATGAAGCATTTTTTAAAAACTTGGAAATTTTACATTATTCTTTTCTTTTTTTTCCTTGAACTTGCATTTTCATTCCATTTTTATATTAAAACAGTGATTCTCAACAGGGGTAGAGAGGTGGAGTTCCCAGGCATGGTGGTGGGAATTTTGCCTGCCAGGGTACATTTGGCAATGTCTGAAGACATTTTTGATTGTCACAACTGGGATGATGGGTGCTTCTGGCATCCAGTGGGCACTAGAGATGCTGCTAAACATCCTATGAGGCTCAGGTCAGTCAACAAACAACAATCATCTGATACAAAATGTCAATAGTGTTGAGGTTGAGAAGCCCTGCCCTAGAGTGATATATTTCTATGACCAAAAGTATTTTATTCATCACATTTTCTCTACAAGAAAAATATTTATGTAAACTGATAAAAATATAAATTTCCTATAACATAAAGGCCTAAGTGTTAAAAAAAAAATGTCTCCTAGAATGGGTTATTACAATTATAATTAGTATACATTAAAGAACATGATTAAACAATCATCATCAAATATAAAAAGTGAAAATATATTAAAAGATTCCTAATTAATGGATAAAAGCTTATTTTGTTATTTTCAATTAGGTATTGTATCTGTGAATAAATATTGCTACAATGAGACGGAATTCAGCTCAATGATACTTCTATTTTCATTTTTATGAGAGCTGAGAAAACTTTATGTAAATAAGTAGATGGAAAAGGAGTTCTGTTGAAATAATGTCACTTATTTTGTAAGCTCCTATATGTTATATACACTAATAAGTTACATAGTGACCTTTTATTAAAAATTATTTCAGTGATCTATCAGCCAATAACTTAAGGAGATTCTCTTAAATATTGTTAAAAGCAAAGAATTTGAAACCAACTGACTTGCAGAGGATTTGTTAGGTAATCCTTCAAGGCATTCATTTTCTCACTACCTATTGAGTAACCCAGAGATTTTTCAACCCCTGCTTTACTACAGAGACCAAATTAGGCCTTGTTCAATGAAGACTCTTTGGGAACTTCCCTTACTTTAATATGAGAACACAGCTTCACTTATCAGGTAGGGTTTGGGATATCTCAGCAGGCATTTTAAAATCTAGTAATTTCTATTAACTGCCCCATAACCACGTCCATCATGAAAAGTCAGGCACGGGTGTCATCAAATACCTATGCCTAACACCCTAGTTCTTAGAAATCATATGATGGGTTTTATGAAAATTAGATTCTCAAGAAAGAAAATAGTCCAAATATGACTAAAATTCTTCCCATTACTCCCTTACCTCTTAGATACTCTGTACTGTGCTGTGGTCAATTTTCCAGTCTCAGGGTCATGTACTGTAGCTCGGCTCAGCTACAAAAAAAGAGAAAGGACAAGGACTTACTCACGTAGCAGGCAATTTGGGGCTTTTGTTTTGTTTTGTTTTGCCAAGCCACAGGTGATTGGAAGGGTTCAGATTGGTCTGGATGGTAGGTAATGGTTTCGAATCAGCAAAAACATTTAGAAACGTGGCAATAAGAAAAGCCACTTGCAAATCAAGAGAAAATGGGTTGACAGATTTTTGTTGTAGATTGTCCTTTCACTTTTTTTTTAAAAATCATTTGAAGCTCTATGTAAATTTTTTATAGCACTGGGTTTCACAGGTGCTTTCTCAGATCTAGAAGTTTAATGTTCTTTAAATTATTTGACAAAAGAATAATTAGTGGTCTCTTTAGTCTCTTTAAATTCATTTTTTAAAACTCTCACCAAGCTATAACTGTTGTTAAATCTCTCTGGTGAAGTAAAAGGCAACTAAACTCAGAAGTAATAGCATTTGAAAGACTGAGATCTGAAGCATAACTCTGTTCTTTCCATTGCCAGCTTTTAAGTCAGCAAGTTTTTTAAAATAAAAACTCCAACAGGAGAAATAGATTACTCCAAAATGACAATGTTATTTTATAAGATGCATGAACAAATGCCAATACAATCATCATGAAGAATGATGTGAATTCACCACAGCATTTATGAATATGAGAGAACTACATAAACAAAGACTACTCCCAGATTAATCCAGGCTGCTGCTTTCTTTCCCCCCCTCTTTGGCAAGAAAAAGGAAAAAGAAAACAAGTATAAAAGCCATTTCCTGGATATCTGATTCCTAACCTGAAGAGCGATGCAAAGCATATTAACTCCCTAAAAATAACAGACCAATTAAATATTAAAAACAGAACTTCTAGTTAAAGGGAAAGACCTGTGAAACACAAAGCAGTTTATCCATGCGTAAAAATAGGTGGTGACTTGACTGGAGACTGAAAATGACCTACTTCCCTTAAATGAATAATTCCTGTAGGATGTACAAAACACTCATTAGAGGGCAAAATATGCAGCATACACATCTCTTACCTTTTGCTAATTCTGTAATGTACCGTCTCCAAGTCTCCTGTTATTGGGTTTGAAATGGTGGCTCGCCTCAGCTGTGAAGCCAACCATCAAAATAGTTGCATTATAAAAAAAAAAAAAAAAAAAAAAGAATCACATTTATCCAATCAGTCAGAATTCTGGGATTTTTTTTTTACAAAGGAGGCTAAAAAGAGAAAATAATTCCATAGACTTCCAGTCACCTGTGTTTAGCCTTGAAAGCCTGTTGATTTTTAAATATTTTATATTTTTAAAAGTTCTTTAAAATTTTTTGTTTTTGTTTTGTGTGAATGGAGGGTACACAAACAAAAGAGACTGGAAATTAAATTTCTTTCAACGGTTAGAGGACGTGAAGTGAGGAAAAGAAATTTCTAAAATTTGAAGTCTAACTTATAAGAATGGCTATTTGCAGTTAATAATCCATTCCAAACTTTTTGTTTTAATTTTTTCGGTGATGGAAATGTTTGCAAAGACAATGTTCAAAATTTGTTTCAAGGTCATCTTTTCTTCCTTCAAGATATTTACTCATATATTTCACATAAACAGTGAAATAATCTTGGATGAGCACAAAGACAGATGAAAAGAACTCATAAATGTTAAGAAACAGAAGGAGATGACAGCCAAGATAATGATTTTAAACTTTTTTCTAAAAATGAAGGATGATTCAGATGTTAACAAAAGAGTATAAAATTTTTATTGCCATTGAATTACTTGATCAAATAATCCAACTGAGGCATCCACTTTGAAGATTGAGGCCTCCAAACCCAGAAATATAAGACTTGATCTCCAAGCTGAAATGAACTCCTAATAAATATTCTACCAAGGTAATTTTGGTTTACTGACCACAAATAGTGAACTAAAATCCAAAAGAGAATGACAGAATATGATGGGATTATAAGTGGCATTCTGCTTAAGAGATTTATAAGAACTCCCTTGGACAACATCCATACATATTAGACTCGTCTTTTCCATTTAAAGTGTAATCTTTAGTAAAAAACAAAAAGTACCCATTTGGAAAAGTAGTAAAACTTAACAACAACAACAACAACAATTCTGACTTCAAGTTTATTCTACAGTACAGATATCCAGACAACTCAACTTTTATGATATAACATGGAACAGCAAACTGTGGTCCATGGGCCAAATTCATCCAGCCACCTGCTTTTAGAAATAAACTTTCATTGGAATATAGCCACGTTCATTTATGTATTTTCTATGGCTGCTTTTGCACTGCAACAGCAGGGGTGAGTAGTTATATAACAGGCTATACAGCCTGCAAAACATAAAAAATATTCACTATCTGGACCTTTACAGAAAAATTTGCCAACTCCTGTGTAATAATTGAGCAAAAATATTCCTAGTGTTTATTTAACAATCTCTTTATGAAAATGATGGCGGTTTGTATTTTACTATCAATAAGACCAAACAGATCTTAAGAACAAGCTGATGGGAAAAAAGGCAAGAGCATAAAGGGCAGGCTTTCTCACACCCCCACAAAAGAAGAATTTCTATGCTAAACACTAAGTTTATAGGATTGTGTTTACAATAAATTGTTTTTCTTATTAAGATAAATGACGTGGGTTGAAGTCAGAAAACTATGATGTCCTTATTTCAGATTAGCAAGATGTTTGTACCGGCTATATCCTTCTAGTAATAATGTACCTAAACAGGAATAAAAGTACTTCAAGTATTATTTCAGATAAAACTATAGAAGATATAAAAAGTTGGTCTTTGATTAGTCTCTGAGATTAAAGGGCTCCAAAGTACATAGAAAACTTTTTCAGGAAGGTGCTGAAACACAAATTTTTCAAGTGTGAATAAAAATCTCATCTATGATTTTCATAAATGAGTGCTTAAAACCCAGTTGCAAGGTATGTTATTTGTGTTGATAACAGAGAACAACTGGTACAGAGCTTAGTTAATGGCATTAGTTTGCAACAACAATATCTAAAACTATCTATGGGCTTATTGCCATGTCAATTATCATTTTTATAATCTTGCAAAGGAAAAAACTGAAACGCCGGTAGAGTAAATTGAGGAGAGAAAAAAAGAAAAAAATTATTTACCCTTGGTTTTGCTAGATCTTTAACAATTTCAATTTCTGCATCAGAAATAATATCATGGAAGCGAATAATACGAGGCTTGTCCCACTCATCCTCCTGTTTGGCTGGAGCCAGAATAAATTTAGGATTCCGGTTTCCATCATGGTAGCGGCAAAAGAGTTTTTTCTGTCTCCGAGGAGTCTAAACATAAAGTTAAAAATATTATAAATATATTAGAGTAATAATATTTTTAATGCTTGTTCCTATGAAGATAAGAAACAATAATCATGCTAGTGTATACACAGAGTATCTGAGGAAGAACACACAAAAGAAACAGTACCCTGCAAATATTCTGCATCAAATGGGACCTTCAGGATTTTAAAAGTTTTATTAATGATTATTTTCTGGAAGAGATGGTAGGCCTTAAATTTTTAAAAGGTGAGGTTTCTCTTTAACCCCTTCTCTCATCAAAATAAAGTTCAGGCATTGTAAATATGAAAGAAATAATAAAATATTTATAGAAATATGAAATGAATGGCCAGCACTGCTCCAAACTTCACAAGGTAACTGGGAAGCACTCAGAAAGTGTCTAAAAGAAAAAAAAAAAGAAAACAAAACAAAACCTAACCAGGTTTTCCCAAATACCTCCCAATTTTTAAAAACTTTAAGGGATTTTTTTTTTTAAAGTAAAGAAGAAAATGGGTAGCTCTGAAAAAGAGAAAATAAGTTATTAAACAAAGAAGCCAGGTGCTTTTACTAGCAGGTATTAAAGACAGAGTGGTCAACAAAACAAATAAAGGTTCCTTTCAATCATCTATGTATTATATTAACTAAATAAGTTATTCCATTGCTGATTCTTCTCTTGATTAAACAAGTATTTCATATTATGAGGTAGGAATAATATTAGTTTTGGTTTTAATTATTAACTACACAAAAACAAATAATGATTCATGTTTATTCTTGTACTTTATTTACCTAGAATCAAATCCAAGGTTTTATATCAAATAAGCTTTTTATATGATGATGAGATGAATTTAACTATTCTGAGAAAAAGGATGCTCCTTTGACCTGGGGCAGAGTTGACGTGTGTGTGTTACATCAACAAACTGGCAAATTAACAGACTTCTGTTTTTATATCTGTAGTTCTATTTTGCTCTCTTCTTTAAGAGATTCTAAGGGCAATAAAAAATATCTGCTTACTATTGGAAATCTGAACACTGACTAGATATTTGATGATATTATGGAACTACTATGAATACTGTGATACCGGAAATACCATGATAATGGTATTGTGGTTATTATTTTTTTTTTTTAATTTTTTTAATTTTTATCTATTTATTTATGGCTGTGTTGGGTCTTCGTTTCTGTGAGAGGGCTTTCTCTAGTTGTGGCGAGCGGGGGCCGCTCTTCATCGCGGTGCGCGGGCCTCTCACTATCGCGGCCTCTCTTGTTGCGGAGCACAGGCTCCAGACGCGCAGGCTCAGTAATTGTGGCTCACGGGCCTAGTTGCTCCGCGGCATGTGGGATCTTCCCAGACCGGGGCTCGAACCCGTGTCCCCTGCATTGGCAGGCAGATTCTCAACCACTGCGCCACCAGGGAAGCCCTGTGGTTATTTTTTAAGAGTCCTTATCTTTAAAAGACACACTAAAATATTTAGATGTGAAATTTTAAAAAAATGTTTCATGAGTCTAATTTGTATTTACTTATTAGCTCCCAAAGCGAAAGTAAACATGTTCTTCTGGGAATCCACAAACTTATCAAAAATGTCAACATAAATATGATCTACTTATTTGCTGTTACAGGTTAGGCTGTCAACAGTGAGTCATCAAATACCAGGAAGTCATCAACATAAAAACGTAAAACCCAGCTTCAGTTTATCAGTAGTAGAGAAAAAGTTAAACACTATTCAAATGTTTTCACTTAAAAGTACTCACTTCAAAAATTCACTAACTCCTACGTATGCCCGCATTCAGCTGAACACTAGTACCACATGATATTCCTTAAATAAGGATTCCATGATCAATTAATGTTGAGAAACAAAGTATATCCTATCCATAATGCATATTATCATAAAAAGGATCTGAAAAGTCCTAAAGCTGAACAGAAACTATGTTCCCCACGCTTGAACTTTATTATTTTTGGCCTATTACCTATTAAGTATCCTGAAGCACTGGTAATCTGAGTACGAATACATAAATATAGATATACAATAAACAAAGAGATATTTATAGACATGTTTTAGTATTTTAAAGAATAACTGTTAAAGCCAAAATCTGTTTAAAGTCTTTGTGCATTTTTTTTTTTTTGTGGTATGCGGCCCTCTCACCGTTGTGGCCTCTCCCGTTGCGGAGCACAGGCTCCGGACGCGCAGGCTCAGCGGCCATGGCTCACGGGCCTAGCCGCGCCGCGGGATGTGGGATCTTCCCGGACCGAGGCACGAACCCGTGTCCCCTGCTTCGGCAGGCGGACTCTCAACCACTGCGCCACCAGGGAAGCCCAAGAATTAGATAATTTAAGGGAAGTGATAAAGTTTTTTCTTATATCTTAATGCAAAAGAGATTTCAGCAATCTTAAATAGAAATAATATACCATTCTAAACCACCCTATGAAACAGTGGATTTATCTATACAGTGATCTCTTTTGGTTCTGCTCCTAGTCAACCTTGACAGGATTGCCTAGTGAAATGTTTTTGTCTATTTAAGAAATATTAAAAATGCACAAAGGGCTTCCCTGGTGGTGCAGTGGTTGAGAGTCCGCCTGCCGATGCAGGGGACACGGGTTCGTGTCCCGGTCTGGGAAGATCCCATGTCCCGCGGAGCGGCTGGGCCCGTGAGCCATGGCCGCTGAGCCTGCGTGTCCGGAGCCTGTGCTCCGCAACGGGAGAGGCCACAACGGTGAGAGGCCAGTATACCGCAAAAAAAAAAAAAAAAAAAAAAAAATCTGATTCTTCACCTTAAAAAGCCTGTTTTAATCTATGAAAAGGGTAATAATTACCAAAAACGCACTGTAATGGTATATGATTCACAAGTTTTGTTTTAAAGCTATTTTACTAAGGGTTGGAGCATATTAAGTGTGACACCTATAATAAAGTGATGTGGCATACTGTAATACTTTATCAATAATTCTGATTTTTATCACAAATTTTAAAAATAAAAGAATTCTGAATCTCTCTAGAACTATGTACAAACACGCACACACATCCACTTCCACACACACACAATTGGCTTTTCCACTTTACCATTTTGATACCCTCCCCACGGCACAGCATTTCGTACTTCTGTCTCTCTGGTAGGTAATCCGCAGCAACCCCTTTTTTCTTCGGTGTGGTTTTCTGATCAGATTGGTCATCTGAAGCAGACTTATTGGCATCTTTTTCTTTAGCCATTATATACTCAAAATATTTTAAGTTACCATTAGCTCTCTGATGTTCAGGATCTATTAGAAAAGAAAGAAAGCATGTCCATGAGTAAGCTTACAGTTGTTCAAGCATCAGAATACAACAATATACAAATTGAGGAATATATAAATTTACCTTCCAAACCAGGATGCTTTTGAGAGTGAAAGGAGGCACTAATGAAAATTAGTATACCAAAACAATAGGTATAAACCTGTACTGCCCAAAGCACATCAAGACATATATTCACCCTCTACAAAAAGAGTTCCGGAGATGGAATCAGCCATTTATTTCAAAGTAGCAATTACCGCTTCTACTTTGAGAATGTTCCATGTGAGAATTTACTAATCAGCTTTGATGTCAAATGAATTTTAAAGTATTACTTATTACACTTATTTGAAGCAATGGAAAAGATTTTTCTGAGATTGAAATGTAATGACCATGAGGAAGACAAGGTATACAGTTCAAAAGCAACCTTTACCGCAGACACATTATAAACGCAGAACACAGTCTACTTCTGAGGGCTGAGTGGACTTCCGTCCCAAAATTCTAAGTGAGATGGAAAAGAGAAACTAAAAATATAATTTTCAAATAAGCCAGAATCCACTAACTGCCTTGGAATTGCTAGTCATAATTGTTAGCTATCTTTTAGTAGGGGAAAGGAGGACTACTCCACCCATCCAGGAGAAAAAAAATCCAAACCACCAGACACACACAAATGAAAAAGACAGAACAGAACACAGAAATTTCACTTGTGACATTAATTGAAGTGTTTAAAAAATCTAGCCTTAGATTTGTAAAATACTTCGTCTTTGAGAAACTGCTCATAATATATGTTGTGATACACACAATATGAGTCTACTTTTGTAAAAGAAAGGGAAAAGAGGGGAGGGGGTATACTACGAGGAAACAAAAAAAATTGGTGGGTATCTCTGAGTGACTGGCTCTGAGTGATGACTATTCTGTATTTTTTTCTACAATGAATGAAGTATTTTTTAAGTCAGGAGGAAAAATATCACTAAAAAATACTGGGGAAAAAAGGGTAATTGAATTAATATCTCAATTTATTAATTCACTCAACTAAGAAATAACCTAATTATCAAAAGCTTATTTTCAGGGCTTCCCTGGGCGCAGTGGTTGAGAGTCCGCCTGCCGATGCAGGGGACACGGGTTCGTGCCTCGGTCCGGGAAGATCCCACATGCCGTGGAGCAGCTAGGCCCGTGAGCCGTGGCCGCTGAGCATGCGCTTCCAGAGCCTGTGCTCCGCAACGGGAGAGGCCACAGCAGTGAGAGGCCCGCGTACCGCAAAAATAAATAAATAAATAAATAAAGCTTATTTTCAGATGACCAATGTTTTTGAACTGTTCAACTCTCCTAATATACACATATTTACCTATTCATAAAAAGAATTTTTTTTAAGTTTTAAAGCTTCGTTATACACCAAAGACCACATGAATTTTTTTAGCATACAACTCCACCACAGATTCTGAGCTAGTAGGTCTGGTATGGAGATCAAGGAATTTTCATTTCTAACAAGTATCCAAGTAATTCTGATGCATGTGGCCCCTGGCTCATACTTACAGAAATACTATATCTCTGTTCAAAACACTAGTGGTAAAATCTTCATAAGATATCATATTTTCCTAACATTTGAATATGACAATCAAATATACTTCCAGTCTATTTATTTCTATGAAAGAATTTCAACCAGAGGATATAAAATGGAAAATCTCATGCATGTGCCCTCAGGACCACAAAACTTAAGGACTGAGAGACTGATTTCCCATAAATGCCTGATTTTCAGAAAACTGATAATATTGGAATTTTCTTAAATTACAGGGAATTGGTCAAGGGTTGCCTCATATCAATCTTAGGAAATGTTGCTTATGGTTTCCAGGGGCATGAACAATAAATCACCCAAGTTGAGCTGGTGTTAAAAAGTAAGCTGAGGGCTTCCCTGGTGGCGCAGTGGTTGAGAGTCCGCCTGCCAATGCAGGGGACACGGGTTCGTGCCCCGGTCCGGGAAGATCCCATATGCCCGTGAGCCATGGCTGCTGAGCCTGCGCGTCCGGAGCCTGTGCTCCGCGACGGGAGAGGCCACAGCGGTGAGAGGCCCGCGTACCATCAAAAAAAAAAAAAAAAAGTAAGCTGAATTGAGCTTGTTTGTATGACTGGACTGGTTTTATCTGCTTAGGGAATGTTCAACGCTAGTCCCCATTTGTTTTTGATTTGAACAGACTCTAACTGAACTTTCCCCTCTTTACATTCCCTGCCCATAAACACAGCCTACCCCAATCCCTCAATGGACTCACCTGTAGCTTCCTACATTTTGCAGGTCCTGAATGCAATTCCTCTGCTATTACTAAACTCATGTTTTTGACAATTTTGAGTTTGCCTCATTTTACCTTTTTATTTAGGTTGACATTTCAAATCACTATTTCTGAATATGAAATGCAATAAACCAAAAACTTCCTTCAAAGAACACGAGTCAATATTTAATATGCAACAGGGTAAACAAATATTTTTGACTGAGTTAGCTAGGTTAGGTCCAATTTTGAAATTCCTGAAGAGTACAGAGCAGAGAAACACAGCTACTGTTGTAGTACTATTAGGTGAGAAAGACCAGTTGCCATTTATTTAGAGGATAAACAGAAAGATAAAGTATGTCTGACAGATGAGCTCCTGACTTACGACAAATAAAAAGTACCAAAGCTATATGACAAATATATACAGTCACACATAATTATAATTAGTATATCTATATATCCACCAATACATGTTTAACCTTGAATTAGGCCAAATTAACATACCTAGTTCAAGAAGCTTCTTTGTGAGCAAAAGTGCTTTATCTAGGTCTCCCTGCTGGTACACTGCATAGCTCAAATAATCTAGAACAGAGACTTTATCAATTGTAGAAACCTCGCCTTCATCCAGCTGTCTTAGTGCTTGTTCCATCCACAGTTCTGTATGGTAATAATCTGCTTCTGTGTAGGCCACTTTGCCCAACTCAAAACAGTCCTCAACTGTTAGAAATGATTTGTGTTTTACTCCTATGGAAACAAAATACAGAGAACTTTAGGAATCTTAATACTATTATATACTTATTTAGGACAACACAGCTTTCAAAGTACTATCTCCCTCTCATTTGAACCTCACAACAACCTTCTGAGGTAGGAAAAGCAGGAATTATCCTAAGTTTATAAACAAAGGAACAATCTACAAGGTAGTGAAACATGGCAAGGATCACACAGCTAATAGGTAACGTAGGACCTATAGAACCCGAGACTTCAATTATCAGCCATCATACCAAAATGAAGCATCAATTAAGTTGAAGCATGCAATTTTCCAACACAGCGGGAATCACCATATGAGATATATCTAACTCTTAACCAACAATCTGGGCAAGGGATAAATGGACAGGAAGAGAGACAAACCTGTCAATTGATTCTTTCCCCTCTTCCCTTCCCCTACAGTAACCCTTTTCAAAAGCACTAATGGTATGTAATTTACATACCATAAAGTTCACCCAGTTAAAGAATCCAATAATTTTTAGTATATTCACAGAGTTGTACAACCATCACCATAATCTAATTTTAGATCATTTTCATCACCCCAAAAAGAAACTCTGTAACCTTAAGCAGTCACTACCCATCATCTCCCCTTTCCTGCCCTATCCCTACACACCACTAATCTACTTTCTGTATCTGTAGGTTTGCCTATTCTGGCTATCTCACATAAATGGAATCACACAACATATGGTCTTCTGTGACTGGACTCCTTCACTCAGCATAATGTTTTCAAGGTTCTTTTTATTGCCAAATACTAGTCCATTGGGATAGACTACATTTTGCTTATCAGTTGATGGACATTTGAGTTGTTTCCACTTTTTTGGCTTTTATTAATAATGCTACTGTGAACATTCATGTACAAGTTTTTCTGTGGACACATTTTTTCATTACTCTTGAGTATATGTATCAGTGGAATTGCTGGGTCTTATGTCAACTCTATGCTTAACATTTTCAGAAACCGCCAAACTGTTTTCTAAAGTGGCTGCACCTTTTTACAATCCTACCAGCAACGTATGAGGGTTCTGATTTCTCTACATCCTCACCAGTACTTGTTATTGTCCACCTTTATTATAGCCATTGTGGGTATGATGTAGTATTTCATCGTGGTTTTTAAATTTTATTTCCCTAAATGATGTTGAGCATCTTTTCACATGTTTATTGGGCATCTGTATATCATCTTTGGAAAAATGTCTATTCAAATCCTTTTGCCCATTTAAAAATTTGGTTACTTGTCTTTTTATTATTGACTATTTGTTTCAAATACTGTACAATTACCGTTACTTTCATAAGAATAAGGAAAAATAGAGAAAGAACTATAGAAAGAAATAAATGTAAAAAATATACTCTGAATGATAGCAACCATATAACACTGCATTTTTGTAAACAGTAAATCAGGTGAGTTAAGTGGAGACTTTAAGAGCCTGAGTATTTTATGTTTTTTGTGTATACCATGTTAAGTAAGCAACAGAGAGAAAATTACATCTGGACCACATATTCTGGGGTGGTGGGGAGGGAATTGCTTCTGATATAAAACACAGTTGACCCCTGAACAACAAGGGTTTGAACTGCATGAGTCCACTTATACGTGGATTTTTTTCAATAAATACATGTATGTACTGTAAATGTATTTTTTCTTCCTTATGATTTTATTAATAACATTTTCTTTTCTCTAGCTTACTTTATTGTAAAAATACAGTATATAATACATGTAACATACAAAATATGTGTTAATCAACTGTTTAAATTATCAGTAAGCCTTCCAGTCAGCAGTAGTCTATTGGTAGTTAAGTTCTGGGAGAGTCAAAATAGACACGCAGATTTTCAACTGCTCAGGGGGGTCAGCACCCCTAACCCCAGCATTGTTCAAGGGTCGACTCTACCTAGAAATGCTGAATTAAATGTAACAATTATCCATTTGTACTATGGCCAAGTTCACAGGAATTAAGCAAATTTCTTAGGGCCAAAACCAAAAAGGAACTTGAAACCTAGAGAGGTAAGCAGAGGATGAAGCTGCATCTCCTCTGGAGGCAGTCACTAGATCAGAATACTAGAAGCTTGATTTTTAACCACCAAGAAAGGGACAGGAGATAAAGCCTCAGGCCCATGCAAAGTGACAAAGCAGACCCTTGAAGAACTACATCTTGAATGGGAGAATGAACTAGAAAAAAAACTGTCAGCTGGCAAAGAGAAACAACAAAAGAACTTGTTTTTCTCAGTCTTCACTGCAGGTAGGTGAAAAACAATCCCTTAGAACTCCACAGGCACGCTTTCAGGGAGCTTTTCATTTCAAACATATGCTATCTCCATGGTCTGGAAAACTAAAGCCAAGAATTTAACTTAAAGTAGTCGTAGGTTGGTAATGCAATAGGACAACTGGCAGAAGCAACATTTATACTCTGCAAAATGCACCCTCACCTCAGGTTTTGCAATATTCCAACACACAATCTGAAGAAATGCATACAATCCAAAATCACAAAGCACATGATCAAACAAGCCACTATGAGCAAAATTAGCAAAAACTATTAAAAACCAGTATTAGACAGTCTTCAGATGTTGGTGTTATCAGATTAAGAATACAAAACAACTATGATTAAAATGTTTAAAGAATTTTTTAAAAAATAGAAAATATGAACATGTAAGATACCCTAAAAAAGACCAGGCAGATTTGAGTGGGGGGAAGAAATAGAACTTCCAGAAATTAAAAATATTATCAATGAAATAAAGACATACTGGTCAGGTTAAACAGCAAGTTAGACACAACAAAAAAAAGAGAATAATAAACCAAGAAGTGAGAACTGAATAAATTACCATGGGATAAACTACCCAGGATGCAGCAGAGAGGAGGAATACATATGAAGTTCTAGTTAAAAGACAAGGAAGAAAAAATAAGAAGACAGAAGACAACAGCATGTGTCAGAAGAAGACAACAGAATGTGGAAAAGGCACTATTTAAAGAAATATTGGTGGACAATATTCTAGCATTAGAATATATGAAACTTCAGATTCAGGAAGCAGAGAGAATAATAAGCCAAACAAAGTACATGCAAGGTCTTCTTAAGGATTTGTTACAAGGAGGAAGAAAACAATTCCAAAAGAGAAGTCTGAGGTACCAAAAAAAAAAAAAAAGATAACCAAAGAAATTGGTATACATTTAAAGAAAAGTGAGCCATCAGATTGGCAAAAATCTCAAAGTTTGAAATTTTTTGTGATGCTGTGGGGAAATAGGCACTCTCATATATTGCTGCTAGAAATACAAAATGACAGAACCATTATGGGGGGAAACTGGGACAATGTTAGCAAAATTTCCTATGTATTTCCTCTTTGATTCAATGGCATCACTTCTAGAAAAAATATCCCAAAGATCACTTAGCAAAAAAACAAAATAATATATGCACAAGGTTAATGGAAGTATTATTTTTATAAAAGCAAAAGACTGCAAACAAACCAGATGTCCATCAATAGGTGCCCAGTTAAATAAACTATGGTAACTCCACAAAACAGAGTAACATGCAGCTGTAAAAAGAAATGAGGAGGATTTCTATATAGGATATGAAATACTATCTAGAACATATCAATAAATTAAAATGCCAAAGTACAGGAAGTATTTATACCATGCTGCCTTCTGTGCTGATGTTGAAAGGAAATAGGAATATATATACATTTGCTTATATTTTCAAAAAGAAACAGTGGAAATGAAAAAGCTAATAAAGTGGTAGTTACATATAGGAAGAAGAAAGGAACAGGTTGAGGAGTACAGAAATGAAAGTGAGACTTCTGTCAGTGGACCTTATTAGTATAGTTTGGACTTTGAAAGAAGATAAAAAGTTCTGCATGACTAAAACTAATATGAGAGAAATGGTGAAGGTGGTCAAAAGGTACAAACTCCCAGTTATATGATAAATAAGTCCTGGGGATGTAATGTATAGCGTGGTGACTATGGTTAATAATACTGTATTCTATATTTAAAAGTTGCTGGAAGAGTAGATCTTAAAAGTCCTCATCATAAGAAAAAATTTTTTTGTAACTATGTGTGATGGTGGATGTTAACTAAACATCTTGTGGTGATCATCTCACAATACGTACATATCTGCGTCATGTTGTACACCCAAAACTAATACAATGCTATATGTCAATTATGTCTCAATTTTTAAAAAGTTTATTTGGGTACCTCTTTTAAATAAAACATTAATAACAGCATTTTGCAGTTTTAGTTCTCACAGGCTTTTAGCTCATTTGATTCTCATGGCAATCCAATGAAAAAGGTATTATGTCAGACCTCAAAATGGATACTGCCCACTATGCTAGTTACAGTTTCATGTTCCTCTATTGGACAATGTGTCATCATGTTTCATTTGTCAACACATTTCTAAATATAACAGAAACCAAAACAATATAAAGTTTTTGAACAACAGAAGAGGACAAAGATAGGATATGAATTAAAAACTGAGCCTGTGATAAATTTGCTTTCAGTGAGAAAGATGTAGAAGAAGGAGGAGGAGGAAAAGGAGGAGGGGAGAAAGAAAAAGAAAATTTTTTCCAACTTTTGATACCAACGTTCAAACAATAAATGTGAGACTCACAGTGGTTTAGTGTTAATGTCAAAATATCTTATCTCCTATACCAAGTTTTCTGACCTAAATAAACAGAGATAGCATGTTCATGGATTAGAAAATTATCTTTTTAAAATGACAGTGCTGCCCAAATTCTCCCCAAGATTCAAAACAACCCTAATAAAATTTCCTACAGGCATTTTTGTAGAAACTGACAAGCTGATCCTAAGATTTATATGGAAATCCAAAGAATTTAGAATAGCCAAAGCAATTTTAACAAAGAACATAGTTGGAGGACTTAGTCACAAGTGTTTGCAAGTATGTGAAGGAACTGAAACTCTCATACACTGATGACCAGAGTATAAAATGGTACAACAATTTGGTGGTTTCTTCAAAATTAAATATATACCTACCATGCAACCCAGAGAATTC